GGCTCTTGTGTTTCTGATTTTTCAGGGCCTCATCGGCTTGTCCAGTCATATTTTATATTATACTATATTAATTTTAATATCTTAATCATATAATAATTTGATAAACTTAATTTTATATAGCTGCATTATAATAATATTATAATTAAAAGATACTAAAGTATAATTCATTATTATATATGATATATAAGATTCTCTATGCAATATACTATCAATTATAATTAATATGCAATAAAACTAATTATAGTAACAGTTATTAATTTTATTCTATAATATTACACTATATGGATTTTTAACACTCTAGATGGTGAGGTGTTCTTTAATCAAAATTGAATCTCTGATGCCGTCTGTCTCTCACACCAGCCTCTGTTGTTTCTGTGCCCAAAAATGCACGTGCTGATTTTCAGCGGGAGCAGGGAGACCACGTAACCCAGCTCCTGGGAAGGGCTTGAGAGGCAGGCTGGAGCAGGGGGCTGTCCCACCTGCAGGTCCTCAAAACCACTGTCTCAGGACCCAACATACCAGAGCTGCAAGTCTCCAGGCTTCATCCGGACCAATCCTTCATCCGGACCAGTTTCCTTTGGGGAAACTGAGGCCCAGAGAGGGGAAGCGGCTTGCTGCAGTCACAGAGCCCTCCTCCCTTGCCTCTCTTCACTTTGACTCCTGCTGCTCCAGAGTCTTTCTCTCCCAAGAGATCTCGGTTATTCTCCTGCAGCCTAAAAGCTAGAGAACATCATGATCGGTACGCTTCACCAGGTGCCAGGCACAGTGCTGTGCTCCTTACATGAGACATCTTGCAGGGACCTCGCCCAACCCTATAAGGTAGGCACTGCCGTTTTGACATTCTAGCAATAGGGAAACTGAGGCACCAAGAGGGGAGATCATTTACCCAGAGTCACTCAGAGCTGGGCTTGGAACCCAGGCCATCTGAGTCCAACCTTCACCCACGTTCTTGGGGCCTGGCATGGTCAGCTCCAGCTTGGTCCAGCTTCCTGTGGGAGGAAGAGGCTGAGTGAGCCTCGGGGTCATGTCCACCTTCAGAGGCCCCCTGTGAGACTCAGTGCCCAGGTGTATATTCCCGGAGTTATTATTTCCGAAATACAGGGGCCTCTCCGAAGCCTGTGGAAAGCGAGCAGAGCCTGCCGCTGGAGGGAGAGAGCTGTCCGGAGAGAGGTGGAAGGGACAGAGAGGCTACTCTGCCCAGGCCCCTCAGCCCTCCGTCCTCGTCCCCTCTTCCCAGCCCACAGCCTTCGGGGTCTCAAACTGGCAACCTGGGGGCTGAGTCCAGCCCACAGGTATGTTGTATTTGGCCCTGGAGTGTTTGTAAGGGGGAAATTTCACATCCACTTCCAGCTTCTCCAAGAACATTGGGAGATCTGCCACAATGGGCCCACGTCCCCCACAGGGTCTAAGAAACAGCTGCCCCTTGAGAAGAGCTGAGAATCCTCACTTGCCACAGTCCCCACCCCTCTCCATTGTCTCCTGCTCACCGACTCTGCTCATTCACAAAACCTGTCCGGCCCCCACACCAATGCAGATTTGTACCCCTGTCGCCGCCCCCACTGTGGCCTGACTGTTCACACCGCAGACTCCAGAACATTGGAATCACGGAGCCTCAGAGGGTTGAGAGACGCCTCTCTGAATAAATTGGGAGATGCCTAAAAGGTGGACTGGCCCCACCCTCACCAAGCTTTTTCTTAGCAAAGCCTTTTCTTTACACCAAATCTTATGAAGAGCCCCAAAACGTGAAAACAGACCTCGGCAGAGCCACATCAGGGCCTGCAGACCTTGGAGCCCCGGGGAATCCTCGGACTCATCCAGCTTCTTTAAGTCCCCCCTTGTTGAGATGGGGAAACTGAGGCTCAGAGAAAGGGATGGGCTGGCCAAGGACACAGCAAGCCGCCATAACAGGCCAGTGTTGGCTGGTCATAGTCCCTTCCTCAGTGGCCCACTGCTCTCCGGAACCCCCCTTCTCCCCTTGTCAAAGCCCATTCCCAGGAGAAGAGCTGAGACTTGCTCACCCCAGGGCATCCAGAGCTGATGGTGGCTTCCCCTCCCAGGGAGTCGAACGGAACTGGAGCTTTCAGTTAAGGGGAGAAGGTTGGAGTAGAGGAATTCCAGACTTCGGCCGTGGGTAGAACTGAACAAAAGGAGGAAGACGGGGTCTTCCTGCAGTTCTGGACTCACACTGCAGTACGTCGCGCCAGCTGCTGTGTGCACGGGCAACCCAGAGGCCACGTCTGCTTGGACAGCGGGGCAGCTTCTCCACACACTTAGCACAGGACTGGTCTGGGTTCCCAGCTCGGTCTCAGGGAAGCCCGTCTCCCATCTGGAAGTGTGCGTCACCAGCTCTAGGTCCCCTCACTCTCACCGTGCGGGCAGGACATGGGACCTCCAGACCACACTGACGGTGAGGCGGGTGTGATGTGGCCCAGGGAGTGAGCCAACCCGGGCTGTCCCTGGGGCCTCAACCGGGCTGGCTCCTGGAGGCTCCCGAAGGAGCCTCATGGTCAGCATCAGAGGGCACTCAGAACCCCAGACAGGCACACACCTGTCTCCCGGCACCCCTGAACCTTGGGTGCTGGACTCCCGAGATCCTGAGCTCTTGTCCATGGTGACTGGGCCTGTTCCCTGCTCAGCACTGTCCTGAGAACTTGGTACCAGTCTGGGCCCACAGTGGACACTCGAGAAAAACACACTGAATGAATGAATGAATGCGCCCACGAAACGCCAGCCTGTTAGAATCCTAGAAGCTTATCACATTAGACCACTGGGCCCCCGTAGTGCAACCCCGCACGGTGGTCTTCCAGCCCCAGCGTGCCGGCGGTGCTGTTCTCAGGAGAGACCTGAAGGCCAGAGGTTCAATGAGGGGGGCGGACCCCTTCCTGCCCCCATCTGTCCTCATTAAAACAAGCGAGCTGGGGTTCAGCTGGTCTCAGCGGCAGCACTGGCATTGCCCAGCCATTTGTGCTGTGTTCTCTGCAGTGACACCCCAGGCCAGGCCTGTAACACTCGGACGTGTGACCTGCATTTAGTGGCTGGGATGTTTCTAAGGTCACAAGTGCCAGGCCCTGAGGAACAGGAATCAGACCAGTCTTGGCCCTCAAGGCACCACGGCCCAGGCGGGACACAGGTCGGGTTGAGCCAGTCAGCCTCGCTTCGTGGGCTTGGCAGAAGCGGGACCGAGTGCCACCTCTGTCCTGGTCACATGCCCGGATCTCCTCCACGCGAGGGTCACCTCTCCAGGTTCCCCTCTAAGGCACAGACACACCTGGGGACTTGCCCGTGGCTGGCCATACGTACCTTGGAGCCGGTGAGTTGAGGCGGGACACAGACAGGCAAGCAGAGGCCAGCAAGGAGGGCAGAGAAGGGCACAGCAAGGGCACTGAGGGGCAGGAAGGAAGTGAGGGCTCACCGGGTGTGGCTAGGGTGGAGCCGCATGACAAAAGGCAAGGCTGTGGACACAGATGGGGGTCAGATCCAGAGGCTGGGGGCGGGATGGGGAGGGAGGGCCTTGCTCTGCGATGAGGAGCCTCCCGAGGGTGTCCACTGGGCACGTGGAGGTCAGATTTGAGAGTCTGGAGGGATTCTCTGGACATGAAGAATTGGTGGGTTTAAAGGGGGTCTCGATCGCCATCTGGACCCCACGGGATGAGGGATGCACCTGGCCACACCTCTCTCCCTCACCCAGACCAGTAGTAGCCGCCAGGGTCAACTGAGCGTCCACCTCCACCAGGCACAGCTCCAAGCACGCTCCACGGATGCCCACGGCATGATCGGCTCCTGGGGTGGGCACGCAGTCCGTCTTGGGGGCTGCTCTGTTCCAGTGTCTGTGACAGCGCTGGACGCTTCGTAGGTGCTCGATAAATGCTCGTCGGCCACGTGAATGGCCTCCCGTGATACAGCCAGCCCGTAAGTTAGGTGCGACCACCGTGCCCATGACAGAAGAGGATACTGAGGTTCAGAGAGTCAGGGCCATCAGGCTGGGGTTTGACTTTAGGCAGTGGCTCTGAGTCTGTTCTCTTCACTGCTATCTGTGCTGGACAGGAGAGTGCAAGGAAACACAAAGCAGGAACAGGGCACGGGTGTCGGGTGTGCACTTGCTTCCATGGCCGCCATAGCAAATGACCACACACTGGGTAACTTGTCTATTCCCTCCAACTCTGGAAGCCAGGAGCCCAAAATCGGGGTGTTGGCAGGGCCACCTCCCTCTGAAGACTCTGGGGAGGACTCTTCCTTGCTCTCTTCCGGCCTCTAGGGGTCTCAGGTGTCCCTTGGCTGTTGACTGCATCACTCCAACCTCTGCCTTTGTTTTCACGTGACTGTCTTCCCTCTGTGTCTGTGTCTCTTGTAGGGACACTTGTCACTGGATCTGGGGCCCACACGGATAAATCCAAGATGAGCTCATCTCGAAATCCTTTAACCTACATCAACAAAGACTCTTTTCCCAAATGGCCGGGCCCTGTGGCTCACACCTGTAATCCCACACTTTGGGAGGACCACTTGAGCCCAGGAGTTCGAGACTAGCCGGGGCAACATAGCAAGACATTGTCTCCACAGAAAATCAAAGATTGGCCAGGTGTGGTGGTGCACACCTATAGTCCCAGCTACTCAGGAGACTGAGGCAGAAGGATCACCTGAGACCAGGAGGTTGGGGGCTGCCGTGAACCATAATCTTCATGATCACGGTGCTCCAGCCTGGGTGATAGAATGAGATCCCCAACTCAAAAACAACAACAACACACAGAGACTATTTTCCCAAATGAGGTTACATCCAGGGTCAGGACACGGATGTAATCTTTTGGGAGACAGCATTCAGCCCACCACAGGGTGTCCCCAGCACTTTGCAGGAGCCCGCCTGGGGCCCGAAGCACGCAGACGTGTTGGGCTCCCAGCCAGCTGCCCACAAGTTCCTGACTGTTTTCCCCTCTCCGGCCCTGGGTTCCTGGGCATGCCTGTCTCTCCCTGGCCTGCCAGCCAATCTCTCTGCACTCTGCCCACAGGTTTGCCAGGCACAGCTCCAGACCTGGAAAAGAGAAAGCAGATTTTCGGGCAAAACTTTATACCTCCAAAGAAGCCAAAAACTTTCCTGCAGCTGGTGTGGGAGGCACTGCAGGACGTGACACTCATCATCCTGGAGATCGCTGCCATCATCTCCCTGGGGCTGTCTTTCTACCACCCGCCCGGCGAGAACAACGAAGGTAAGACTTGGACAGCCTAGACCGCCCCCACCCTGCGGCCACAGCGTTGACACAGAGGGTGCTCAGGGCTCTTGGCTGCTGGTCCTTCCTGGGGAGGAACCTGAATGAGTGGCCAGGCCAGGCCCTGGGCTCAGATCCCGAGGCCCCAGTTTCCCCATGTATGAAGTACAAGGGTCAGACGAACAAGAGTAAGGATTATGGTGGGCACGTATAGAGCACTTACAGTGTGCCATGCTCTGAGCTGCGTTGTCTTCCTCACAACCTCTTGCCGAAGCGGCCGCGGTAATACCCATTTCAAAAATGAGGAAACCAAAACACAGAAAAGCGGGTTAACTTACTCGAGGTCACCAGCTAAGGAGTCCTCAGATTTCGCTGCGGGGCTTGTTAAAAAACACTGATGTCGGCCCCTCCCTGAGAGGGTCTGGTTCTGCCGGATGGAGACAGGGGTTGAGCATCTGGATTTTAGCAGGCACGCAGGTGGGGGTGACCCTGACATCTGTCCTGGCTGATCTGTGAGGGCCCCCCATATCTGAGGACAGAGCACCCAAGCGGCTTCCCCCAGGGGCTGCAGACATGCCTTCCGATGCAGAAGGGCTTCGGTCCCATTCACAAGCTCCCCCGCAGGTCCCTACCCTCTGAGGAGGGGGGATCCTCCCAGGGATCTTCCAAAGCTGGGCTTCCCCACAGAACCCCCAAGCCCCTCACTCCCTGAGGCACACGATACAGAGAAACCTCATGATTTCCTCCGAGGCCTCGCCCCTGACATTCTGGACCAGGGACCGCCAGACCACATCCAGGTGGCCCGCTGTTTGTGTCTGGCCTGTGAGCTAAGAGCATCTTTTACATTTTTAAATGGCTGAAAAAATACCAAAAGAGTCACATTTCAGGATGTGTGAATATGATACAAAACTGACATTTTATTGTCTAAAAATAAAGTTTCACTGGAGCATGCTCATCTCTCTTCTGTGTTGCCTGAGGCTGCTCTCACACTGCAGGGGTAGTGGGGAAGTGGAGGCCACAGACCCACAGAGCCTGGACGACCTACAATCTAGCCTTTCAAAGAAGAGTTTGCTGACCTAGAAGGGCAGAGTGGCAAGCCCGGCTCCATGAACACCTCTCTCTCTCTCTCTCTCTCTCTCTCTCTCTCTCTC